GCTGTCGCAGGCGATGCGCTCGACCTCCTCGCGCGGCATCATCTCGAGCGGGTGGAGCCATGGCGCCTGCTGCATCTCAGGGTGGGCCTTGCTGTAGGGAAGGACTGATGCGTTGTAGCGGCCGTGTGAGAGCACAGAGGCGAGCGCGTTGACAAAGTTGCGGGTCGGTGTTGAGCCTGCTCCCGGCACAGTGCATAGTACCAGCTTGCGCTCGGGGAAGACGCGCGTGAACGACCAAACAGCGTCGCTCCCGCGCCATGGAAAGGCATAGGCGGGCCGCACCCAGTCAAATGGGAGAGCCACCGGGCACGTCGGCACACATGCTGCTCTTGAGACCAGGAAGCCGAGGGCCGCGAGCCACGACGACGCACCTGGCATCGATGTCCAGTGTCGCCGGGCGGCGGGTGCTGCGCTGCGCTGCGGCCGGAAGAGAGCGGGTAGGCGCGCGTGTAGGCGCAGACCCCTCGCGCGCCCGCCGACAGCACAAAGTACGCGCAAAAAATTTGCTGCCCAAATATGCCGATCATCCGGCTCGCTGGGCGCGCTTCTTAGCTCCCCGGCCCTGGATGTGAGGTTACTGACTGCACTCCAAGTGCTCCAAGTGCTCCAACCCTGGGTGTGAGGTTGCCGGGTGCACTAAAAGTGCTCCAAGTTTGGGCTCCTCTTGTCTCTATAGCTCCCCCCCCCCCCCCCCCTTGTGTTGTTCTTCCTTTTTAGCCCGCAGCCCGATTGCCGATCTGCGATCATCCGGCCCGCTGCGCGCTGGGCCCGGTGCGCTTCACGGCCCTGGATGTGAGGTTGCCGGACCACACTCTTCAAGAGTGCTCCGCAAGAAAAGGACTTTGTTTTTTGCGCTTCTTCATTAAAGAAACATCATAATGTTCACATCAATAAAAAGACACTGCCAACACACGGATGTCTCCCCGCATCAATCGTTCTTGATGTTCGAGTAGATTCGGCGGACAAAGAGGCGGCACCTGCGGGGCGAGAAGCGCATGTGAGTGAGGCTGCGCGCGGAACGTGCTGCGCGGTCGTGGGGTGACGCACCCTCCGTAGCCGAGCGCGCCGCACATGAGCCCGAGCGCGAGGCTGAAGATGCCCATGTAGCAGAGGTAGAAGACTGTCTGGTAGAAGCCCGACATCTTCGTCTTGACGACAAAGTAGTAGAGCGAGTAGAGGAAGACGTAGCCGGCGGTGGAGGCGGAGGAGGCGAAGGCGACCCACGGCCAGCGGTAGTCCTCGTTGTTGAGCAGGAAGTACGTGACGACGATGGTGACGCAGACGGTGACGACGGCGAGGATGAGGTAGACGAGCAGCATGAAGCCGTAGACGTAGTAAAACTTGTAGTTCCAGAAGGAGGTGAAGACAAAGTACATCTCGATGAAGATGGAGCCGAACGGGAGCACCCCGCCCAGCGCGACGAGCACCGGCGGCCGCGCGTACCACCGCTTGTCCGGTATCAGCCGCGGGATCGCGTTGACGCGGCACGGTGCGTCGGCGCCACCCGACCAGTGCCGCCCGAAGACGGTGCCGAAGGCGCAGAGCGGGACAGCGGAGAAGAGCCAGATGGCGACGACGGCGGCGAGCGAGCCGAGCCCGACCGAGCCGAGCGAGCCGTACGCCGTCGAGACGGCGTTGAGCAGCAGCGTGGTGGCGGCGCAGGCGGCGGGGAAGAGAGAGGCAGTGTAGCCGAGGGCGCGGATCCAGCCGGCGCCGCCCGAGGAAGCGTAGAGGCTGCCCGAGACATAGCCGGCGACGAGGGACGTGCCCGCGTAGCAGATGAGGAAGGAGAGGAGGATGGCGCCGCGGCCCATGTACAGGTTGGTCGCCGTCGCAAAGAGAATCATCACGAAGACCATCATCGCCAGCTGCGCGCCTGCGTCGGAGGAGGAGGAGCGTCGCGAGCGCGCGGGGGGGGGGGGGG